ATAAAGATCTAATTAAAAAAGTGGGAATACAATTCTGAAGAAGTTGAATAACAAAGAAGACGACGTGTTTTTTCAAGAATGGAGTGACTTTAAAATATATCTGGAAAAGAACTGGGATGTGAAACAAAACTTAATATGTTTAGATCAATATTTAGTCAAATGATGTTATCTTTAGACTGTAATGATAAGAAATTGATATAGTTGATGATATGAAGTAATTTGGAGCGGGGGGGGAAGCATTGCGGGAAGCCACCGGAGGGAGGGGAGGAATTGGGAACGGGGTAGACAATTGACAGAATGAAATGATTTAATTTTATATGTTGTATTCCTGAGAAAATAAAATTTGTTTACCAAAAAAAAAAAAAAGAACCCATGCTGCCTCTCTGCATTTGTCTGGTCCCTGGCCTGTGCAGTTTCCCTTTAAGGAACAGTCCAGCACTGGTGCTGTTAAACTTGTGACCAGCCACCTCCATCACATCAGCCCTTGGGATTTCACTGAAAATCTTCCCTTGCTACTGAAATCACCATTTCACTGGCTTTCAAAAGAACCGTTGATGCCTTCACTTAAGCTTCAGTTGTCACCTTTACCACTTTAACTCAGTTGTCAAAGCAGTGAAAGAAAATGCCTGTGCATCTGTCCATGGACGAGACCCACGTGTTTTTAATTCACACATTTCATTTTTGTGGCTACACTGAGCTGATCACTCCACGCATCTGCTGTTTCCTCAGAACAACCAACTTCTATCTCAGCCCCAGGAGCAATATAGACATAATCGGGAAATTAAGCAGCTGCCATTCCAATTGGTCTTGTCTAGAGAGAGATGCTCTGGCAACCTTTACACTTTTTCAGAGCCTGGTTCATGAACAAGACAGCAGATAAATGACAATGACGTCCAAAATGTTCTTTTTCTAACCAGTTTGAAGAATTAGGTTCATTTTGGAAGAAAAGAAACACAGGAGACTCTTACCATGTAATTGTTCTTTTACCTTCAATTTCCATTGTTTGATTTCTATTTTGAATTTAAATTAGATCCAGATATTATTGATTTAAATTGAATTAAATACAGCTACTACTGGAATAGTCTAACCCTATATAATGGCTACAAAAAAATCACCAGCCTTGTTTATTGAATGTGTAGTGGTAGAGTAAAGGTAAAGGTTCCGTTGCTCGAAAGTCAGTCGAATCCGACTCTAGGACTGCGGTGCTCATCTCCGTTTCAAAGCCAAAGAGCCAGCGCTGTCCGAAGACATTTCCATGGTCATGTGGCCAGCATGACTAAACACTGAGGCGCACAGAATGCTGTTACCTTCCCACCAAAGTGGTACCTATTTATCTACTTGCAATTTCTTGCTTTTGAACTGCTAGGTTGGCAGGAGCTGGAACTAGAGATGGGAGCTCACTCCATCATGCGGCACCCGGGTCTCGAACTGCTGAACTAGTGACCTTCCACAGCCTTCAGTTCAGCGTCTTAACCACTTGAGCCACCGCAGCTCAATCAAGTGGTAAAGAGGAGGTACTTAAAAAAAAAGATGACAAGCATCTTGTGATGGGGGTTCACACACACACACACACCTTCAGACCACTTGTGGCATTATTTTCTACTCACTCAAACCTGAACATCTGCTTTCCCCCTTCTACATACATTCCGAGGTGGCAGGAATTCTGTGGGTATTAATATAAACAAGAGGGGGACCCGCGATACTCGCAGGGGGGGAGAAGAGCCCCGTCTCCTCCACCCCCCACCCCTCAATCTCCCCGAGGCGGCGGCGGCAGCGGCGAGGCCGGTGTCCGCCCCCCGCCCCCCAGGGGGGATTTTAACATCCCCCCCTATTTTTTTAACTTTTTTATTTTTGTGCACACGTGGGGACTGGCCCACGTGTACACAAACCTCCCCCAGCG